GGACTGAAGTCCGGCCATCCTAGAAGGAAGGAAGTTCACATGCTCACAATGATTCCACAGCTCGAAGTGGATCAAGCGCCACTTTTATCAGTGGTCAGAGTTTCGCTTAGCTTTTACATCTATCACTGGGATAAAGTGAGATAATATATGTGAAAAAAGTCAGCAGACTGTCAAGCTATACAGATGTAAGATACCTGAAATGTTATTTACATTGTAAGTGTAAAAGGGATTAGGGAGGACAGCAACTTTGGAGAACATTTTAGTATTTCCTCAAAATGGTAAACATAGATTTATTGTATGACCCAGCAGTCCCACTCCTAAGTATGTCCTCAAAAGAACTGAAGACATATGTCTGCCCAGAAACTTGTGTACAGACGTTCACAGCAGCATTATCCATAATAGCCCCAAAGTGGAAACAATCAAAATGTCCACAACTGATGAATGAATAAACAAAGTGGAGTGTTTCCACAGAATGGAATATTATTCAGCAGTAAAAAGGGATAAAGTACCGACACGTGCTACAACGTGGATGAACCTTGAAAACATTTTGCTAAGTGAAAGAAGCCAGGTGCAAAAGATGACATATTTTATGATTCCATTTATATGAGATATCCAGACTAAGCAAATCCACAGAGACGGAAAGTAGGTCAGTGGTTGGCAGCGTCAGGGGAGTGCTAATGAGTATGGGTTTCTTTAGAGGGTCATAAAAATGTTATAAACTTAGTGGTGCTGGTTGTACAACTCTGCGACTATACTGAAATCAGTAGATTGTATACTTTCAAGGAGTCAATTTGATAACATGAATTATATCCCAATAAAGCGGTTATTTAAAGGGGGAGGGGGAGGGGAAGGAGAGTTCGGGCCAAAATGGTTTTGTCTCCTATCACTCTCCGCTTCTGTAAGCACCACTACTACCCGGGTCCTGAAGTCGTCTGTCAAACCCAGGAATTTTTTTTTTTTTAAGCTTCATTGAGAAAATGCGAAGTCTGAAGCATAAGCAATATGAAAGCCAAGAAACGCCATTTTACTCCTCCTTCCCTCCCCCTTTTTTGTGCGGGTCATTTGTTCAGAGGCTTCCAAGGTGCAGCTGGTGAAAGACCCACCACCCAGGAGGATGGGCTTCCTATCATAGACTGTCCCCTACTAACCAGCAATGCACATGTTCGCTGGCTGGCACAGCAGATCTGTGATGCCTTTTTTCCCACCAGATCTCATTGTCACGGTTGCCACAAGGACAACCCCATGTCTTTCACACCAAAACCTAAGCGCAACTCCCAGACTGCCCATGGCTGAAGGCTCCCCCGGCTCCGTCTGCTGTGATGGGGACAGACTACTTCCCGGGCCATCTGGCTTTCACTCATCCTGTGCTTTCTCTCCCGGGTTCCCTGTCTGTCTTTTGTTTTGCAGTGGCTGCTTCAACCCCCAACTCCACTGCTGGCGCGGCCATGAATTCTCTGACCTCTCTCGGGACTCTGCAAGGACTGGCAGGGGCCACTGTCGGACTGAACAACATTAATGCACTAGCAGGTACCATCGCAGTGAGCATCTGCTGCTCTGGTGGACAGCCTCCCCCCAGATTCCCCACAGACAGTGGTCAGCCAGAGATGACCTAAAAGGTTACGTCACGGGGAGAGCTAAAGCTTGGGATGGAGGAGCAGAAGCACATGTTTTGACAGGCGTACGCTGCCTACCTCTGTTTTGTCTCCAGAAGTACCCCACCCTCACCACGCCAAGTCTTTTGTAATGTGTAGACTGTATTTAGCCACAGGTCTCTGTGGTCGACAGGTATCTGCAGGTTTCGAGGGCTTTGGTTTGATTCTAGTTTGGTTCCCTTCATCTGAGGGGAGGAAGTGTGTTATAAAAGAAAAATCAATGGGCTAGAAATCAGGACGCATGGGGCCAGCTCCCAGTCACCTGCAGGAATCTGAGGCCAATCACTGCCCCCAACTGGACTTCAGGGTCCCATCTGAAAACTGAAAGTTCTGGATCAGATGATCTTAAGGGTCCCCTCCAGCTCTAAAACCCAAAGGTTCATGGCGATTATACAGGAGGAGAAATGAGGCCTTGGGAAGCAGAACAAGGCTGAGTGGCCAGGAGCCGCCCCCGAGGTACCGTCTGGAGTCTTTATCAAGCTCCCGGAGTCAGGGGTCACCCTACAGCAGTGCATCTGCTAAGGGCCCCGTTCCACTAACGCAGGTTGAAGCAGAATGAGGCAAACTGCTTACAGAATTACTTAGCTCTGAAACATACAGACTCGCCAAAGCACTCGAAGTTGTGTACACAGCCTACCCATTTCCGGCATTCTAGATGTATGGGGAGAATAGTGCCCGGCCGGAGGGTGAGTCATATCTGAGGCTCGAGCTTAGCCTTGGCCCCTCCAACTGGGGAAGGTCCTCGGTCCACAGAAGGGACACCTCAGTTGCCTTTCCCTCAGCTTGGGCCCGCACCCCTACCCCGTGCCTGAGAATAGCCCATCCAGAAGGACCATGACAGCCTGACTCGGGGACCTAATTACCTACCGGGCAACCCAGCCTCTGCCCATTCTAAGCATTAAGAAAAGGGTCCTTGGCAAGTTGCCTTATTTTAAACCATGATTGACTAAGTGTACAGTTTTTAAAGGGTGATCAAGCAGTAGTTTTTTTAAAAGCAAAAAAAAACAACACCCCAGCAATTCTATATCTTCAAATCCCAAAAGAATACCTTGCAATTTGTTTGGTAAAGAAGCACCTAGAACTCATCCAAATGAAGACTAACTTTTATAATCCAGATAAGAGGATAAGTCGTACATTTAGAGGTAGGAAATGTGTTGAGGTTTTATTAAATCCTTTTATTCCAACGCTTTGGGGAAAGCAGTCATAACCTTGGACTGAGTTTTATCTGACCAAAGGCCAAAAAGAGCAGACAAGAAAAAGATTTCTTTCCTTCCCGACCAGATAGCTGTTGATTAGCAAGCACGTGTTGAATGAAGTGGTGGCCGCGTGACAGCAGAATGTTTTACTCCAGTGAAGCTGCCTCCAGCTGCCCTCCTGCCAGCAGCCCTCATGGCCTTGCCTCCTGTTTCTGACCTTGTTCTGCAGACGCTCCAACTCACTTGTCCTTCCCCTCGGTTGCAGACGTGTGTTTGCACACATCCCTTCATGCTGCTTCTCTTGCCCCAGGACCTAGTTCCCCTAAAACAAGGAATTTGATTTGATCGCCTGCCTGTCCTTGGTCTGCACAGTAACAGGCCAGTGGGAATGGCTGTCCTCCTCAGCACGTGCTCATGACTGCTGTGTGTTGTCTGTGTGGTCCCGCCTCTCTCCATCCTGTTCTGTTGTCCTTTGCGGGGATTTTCCCATCGTTATCATGAGCGATTGGAGAGGGACTGTGTTGAATGGCAGAGAGACCGTGAGTAGTTCCTGTGTGGGACCTGTGTTATTCCAGTTTTGCTCCTGGCAAGAAAAACAGCCTTAAATTGTTTTGTTTTTTAAATTCTTTGCCATTGGGTTAATGTAAGTACATATAGGTCATGGGAAATTAAGACTGTTTCTAGTTTCAAATAACCCCTACTAGACAGTATGAACCAGAAAAATGTTTAATCAAACCAAAAGTCATGCACAAAGAAAAATACATTCCTTCTGATTGGGTAAATTACTGTCAGAGCTATTTAACAATCCCGGCACCGGCTTGGAGCTAAGATTTGCTTTCTCAAATACCGAGAGAAAACCTTCTAATATAGAGTGTCCTCTTTCAGACCGTTCTTCCTTAACAGACATGATGATGCTACCTGTCCTACTGGATAAGAAGGTAGTCAACAAACGGTTACCTGGACAGAGGCAGCTTGACAAATAGTTGGCCACGGCTTCCATATCATCACCATTTCCTCCCCCACTCCACCCAGGAGCCATTACTTGCTACCGTAAGGAGAGTTTTCTGGTTTTCTGAGTAAAGCCACCTCTTTTCCATGGACAAAGGAGCCATGGAGAAAAGTAGGTAGATGGAATCCAGTTAATTCCCAAACTCATCCTGGGAGAATCTGACTGCCTTCCCTGCCAGAGGGCCTCTCAGCTCCGCACAAGGTACAGCTTCGGATGGTAGACAAGTAGCTGAACCAGACTGTTTGAGCTTCATACCCTTGTTCTTCCTCATACACTCATAGAAGGAGGGACTTAAAAAAGGACAGCACTCTAAAGCTTAAAAGCGGAAAACAGCAAGATCGGAAGGAAGGAGGAATGTGGGCAATTCACTAACAGAGCTTTCCCTTCTGGATTAGTTGAGGGTTCTCCAGGCAGGTTTCGTATACTAATAGCTGAACGAAGACGAAGAAAATTATTTTTTGCAGTTACATCCACCCAGGAATCTGTATCTGATTTTGTGCTTTAATGTATGTCAAGTGACATCCTTATTTTTCCTTTTTTAAATGAGCTAATTCTTCCAAATGGCTTTTACCATATAGTGTTTAAAGTTAGGATTATCTGCATATCACCAGCCACAAATGCCTGGTGAGTAGTGTTTATGGAAATATTTTATGTAAAGGAGAGAAAAGATGCGATGCTCTGGGCATAGTGTTGCGGTGGCTTGTCACCCTTGGTATGCCTTGTGAAATTACTGTTTTAATCTGTATTATTGGAATATATAAAGATACATGTAGTTAGGTACATACACAAGGACATACAACGTCACATACACTTGTGACCATATTATTAACACAGGCATGAGTACAAGTGCCACTAATTGTATATATTCATATTCATCTACCCTGATTTTAGACCTTTCTTAGACCTAAGTCCTCATTATCAGCTTGCAGCTTAGAAGAATATATCCCGTCTATACCAAAGAAAATTTATCCCAGCAAATAGACACAAATCTATGAGAATATATTAATACATTCCTCACTTTTGCCCTTTCTTTATTTGGTATAAAGCCTGGCCTAGGGGTGTACAGATAACTGTAGTTGGCTTGTGGCACTCCGCCACCGACTCTTTTTTCAGCATCACCTTCATGCTGGCCATGCCAGATGTACATGCTCATCTTTATGGGTGGGTCCTTCTAGGTCATTTTCACAGGTTTACTCGATAGTCTCACAGCTCCCCGGGACTCCCATCGGGGAGGACCTGGGAGAGCGGCTCAGTTAAAGCACGTGGTAGTCTGGATGCGCACTAACTTCACTGCTAGACTATTTGCAAAGACCTTCCCTCCCTCATTGAGGTTTGCCAATCCATTTGGCCTTTTCGAAGGAAGCCCTGTTCTTTTAAGGGGAAGCATTTTATTCAACTAACCTTCTTCAAACCTCTGTTTCGATTGTCCAGAGTGTTTAGATGGAATCAAGTACCAGCGGCTGAATTGACAAATGTTATCTTCAGTATAATGACTGTTTAATACAGAATGACATTAGATCATTGATAGGAATAACTCTGAAAAGTTGAAAACTTCCTTTGATGGTTTTTAAGATTCTGCCTGGTAATCAATCACCTGTTCTACCTTGGCCGTGGTAAACACACACCTCAGAAAAAATTAGAATAGACTCCTTCATAATAAGAAACTTCAAGCAACGTCAGCAGGACCTCTGCTGGCCACCACCTTTTGAGCTTAGTTGGTATCGGCTAGAACTGCTTGAAATCACTTTCCTTTTCAGGAAGCTGGCTTTCCACGTTCATGGCCCCCAGGTTTTCCTTGACACTCCAGCCCCACCCCAAACGTCACCCAAGGCCCATTTCTGTCCCCTCAAGCCCCGCAGGGAGAACACCAGACCTGAGGCTCCATGAGATCCCTCTATCCTATCTTGTGTGTAGTCCTTTTAATCTAAGAGATGAAGGTGTCAGAAGAACAGAAGCATGATGGAGTAAGTAGCACACTGCCCCCTCCCCTGTGTCCTGTGGATGGCAAGCAGAAACATGGATGGGAGTGTTGAGGTGATTCTGGCATTTGATTCCTCTGTATAATTTCTAAGCATCCTTCTCTTAGTTGTCCTCTATTCTCATTAGACTTACAATTTTTTTCAATTAACCACCTTTGCTATTTTAACATCCTTAATCAATAGCCCTAATTCCTTCAAGATTCTCATTAATGTTTTCACTAAGTTCTTCCCATAAACATATCTTTAAAAAAAAAAGTCTTCATCATAAAGGGAACTCAAGGCAATTATGATGTCACCTCTTCCATTTCCTGAGTTTATAGAAAAGTTCACACTCTATAAAGTATTACTTGTTTTGACTCATATTCAGGGAAAAAGTGACACAGTCAACAACCATAATAGAGCAAAAGGGCAGCCAGGAGACAAGGAAAAAAGTTTTAAAAAGTGTGCTGGCCGTCATCCAGTTCACATGGGTTAATATTAGCCAAGATCCAGCTTTTCAGACACGGGGTCACTTCAGTTGACTGAAAAACATGGCATGGGGTGCTCTCATTGGCGGAAACCCCAGTTCCACGGGCACTGATTAATATTCAGGCCTGTGTGTCTGTGTGTGCGTCTGTTTGCTGCTGAGAACAGCCCCATCCTGTTTCTAGCCTTTCATACTGAACAAGCAGCTTCAGTTAGGTACACGGAGGGGAGGGAGCCGCATTTTTTCCCGCACCTTTAATTCTTCATCGTCAGCGAGGCTCTCCCTGAGGTCCTTGTCCCTGACAGCATCCTTCAGCTGTTGAGGAAGCCGGTCAGCGGAACTGGTGATTCACTGGTTTATTGAGTACAGAGCTTGTGCTCTCTGCCATTTCCTCATCAGATAGCTTAAGGGAGAGCAGTTTCAATCCTGTCCTTCCCCCTCGAACCCTGGGGCCATCCCACGGCTCCTCAGAGAGCCCAGTAAGTGGCCTAAGTGTACAGATGTCGCAGGCCTCTGCCACTAGTGGTTTTTTACATGCTCTCAAGCTCTAAGCGGCAGAAGGCTTCTACTTCAGAAAGAGAACCCCAGTCCTTGCCAGCAGCGCACTGCTGGAGCTCAGATGCACTGGCTCTCTGTAGCGCCTTGGTGAATTCCGTCACTGGCCTAGGGAGTGAGGCTTACCGTCGCTCAGGGGCTTGCGGTGGTCGTCTGTGTGTCTGGCGTTATTACAATTTGTCACTTCATAGTTTTGTCTGTAAGTTCTTGTTGGTGTAATTGGTGTGCTCGCTGCATGCACTTGCTGTCGTACTTGTGTCAAATGATTCTCTAACTTCCTTTGGAAAGCACTAATGAAAAGTGCTGTTTCTCTTCTCTATTGTTGGGTTTTTTGTAAAGTTGCTCAAATGCTCTCAGGTATGGCGGCTCTGAATGGAGGACTTGGCGCCACGGGCTTGACGAATGGCACGGCGGGCACCATGGACGCCCTCACCCAGGCCTACTCAGGGATCCAGCAGTACGCGGCCGCGGCGCTGCCCACGCTGTACAGCCAGAGCCTGCTGCAGCAGCAGAGCGCGGCCGGCAGCCAGAAGGAAGGTACGTGCCTGGGCCCGGGCCGGAGGGCAGCGTTCGCCCACAGAGCAGAGCTCCAAGGAACTTCCACCGAGCCCCTGTCCTGAGAGAAAGCAGTTGTTTTATTTCTCCTACTCATGTTCGTTTGGTTTTTCATAAAGAAATATGACAGGCCCTTTCAGTCTTCTTTCCTGTCGTATTTAGCTTTACTGTTCCTCTCCCTGTTCAGGTGGAGTCCTCACCCTCTGTGCGCCAAACGCAATTACCTAGTGATTGCTGCCATCAAAAAATTGTGGGGAGCACCCTCTCCCGAATCAGCAGGGCCACCTCTCATTTCTCCCTTTCCATACAAACTCCTCGTTAGAGGAAGGGGTGGGTCGATGCAGCCCCCTGTGGGCTCAGCCCAGCTTTCCTACAGTCCACGTCCCCCGTGATGGTGGAGCTCACCTCTTAGTCCACGATGGTTTCCAGGTTAATGAAAAAATCCACTCTTAGGTTTGACTCAGTCTCGGTTTAATCAGGGGTCTTCTGGGGAAGCAAGTAAGTGATTGATTGCCTTGCTTCTCTGCTGGTAAGAAAAAATAAACATCAGGAAGTGAATGCTAAGAATAAATGAAAGCTAATTATAAAGCAGTTAATGAGCTGGCCCGAGTAGGGAGGGCTTGTCTCTTTCTTTCCTCCTTTTGGCTCCTTCCTCCTTGATTGAAATTGCTTTTAAAGCAGAATCTGCACTGTGATATTTATTCTCTTTCTGACTTGTTTTGAACACACGAAAAGAAGTTAGAATAGGGAAGTACTTGCTGAAGATGTTTTTAAAATTTCTTTTCCTTCTCCTGTATCCTCACCCCATCCATAGTTCCAGACTGGTTTTTGTCTGAATATTTTGACTTTAAACATGGTGTCCTATAAGAAATAGAAGGGTTTTCTTTTTAAGTTGGGAATAGTAAAAGGGACACAGCTTTAAAGACACTCATGTGTTTGTGTTTCTGTTTTTGTTTTTGTTTCGTTTTGCAGTACGCGGGCCTCTCACTGTTGTGGCCTCTCCCGTTGCGGAGCACAGGCTCCGGACGCGCAAGCTCAGCGGCCATGGCTCACGGGCCCAGCCGCTCCGCAGCATGTGGGATCTTCCCGGAGCCCATGTCCCCTGCATCGGCAGGCGGACTCCCAACCACTGTGCCACCAGGGAAGCCCTGTCTTCCATTTTTAATGCTGTTACATATAAACAGAAAAATATCTTTCTTTAAAAAAACAAAAACATGGGCTTCCCTGGTGGCACAGTGGTTGAGAGTCCGCCTGCCGATGCAGGGGACGTGGGTTCGTGCCCCGGTCCAGGAGGATCCCACATGCCGCAGAGCGGCTGGGCCCGTGAGCCATGGCCGCTGAGCCTGCGCGTCCGGAGCCTGTGCTCCGCAACGGGAGAGGCCACAACAGTGAGAGGCCCGCGTACCGCAAAACAAAAAAAAGGAAGATAGTTGAAAATCTGAGTTTCATTCTTTCAACTTTCTCTTTCCTCTCAGCTGTGGCTGTTATTGTTGGTTTTTTTAAAACTTGCACAACTGTTCAGACAACTGCGTTTTCCCCAGGCGTGTGGAGACCCAATGTCATAAATACCTCAGCTTCCCAAAGGAAGGTCCCTTTGTCTTGTATTGAGGTCCCTGTGTCTGAGGTCTGACTACCATGGTGACAAATGAGGGTGGTAAGGAGGGATCCTGTCAGATAACCGTGTCCTCAGGAGAGACCGTAAAAGCCAGTTCCCCCACGCGCGTCTTAGAGAGTGTTGGTCACTTCTCCCTCACCCAGCAGGGCCTCACAGCAAACCATATAACCTGGGTCACTGAGAAAACATCTGTCACCAGCAGACTCGAAAGTCAGTAGCTTAAGGAGAAAGTCCGGGCCTGGAAGTTGCTTCACACCAGCTCACTGCCCTAAATTTCTATGCCTTAAGTTTTAGGCGCTGCTTGTGCAATAATTAATCCTCTGGGATTAATGTAAAATAGTTCAAGATAAATACTGCCCGCTCCAGATTATTTATATTTAGGTATGTGGGCTACCAGGAGCATGGGTTAGTGCTTGATGGTGTTTTAGGTTTGTTCAGGTCTCTTTAAATGGTCTTCCATCTTCTCATATGTCTCTTCTGATCACCTTCTTCTCAGCCTGTTAACCTGTGCTCAAGAAATTTAAACCGTCTTGACATTAGCTTAACTAAAACATAATTTAAAAGGCAGGTCATACTGAGAAGCAAAGGAAAGACCCCATGATGAATTCCACTACTAAACAGAGTTTTAGATTTTCTACTCCTTAGTCCTGTTCTTTAATCAAGAAAGTTGAGTCAATTTGATGTATTTAGTCGTGTACCCTGGTATATATTTTCCGACTGGAAAGTGAACCAGTCTGGCCTTGTAAAGAAATGGTTTTAATATTTTCCCCAGCTAAATCTTCTGAAGGGTTATGGCATCCCTACAGATCTAAATTCAGGCAAGCTGACCATGTTTCCTGCCATTCCTAAATATCCTCTGAGCTCTTGCACACCCTTCCCATCTCCCTCTGTTTGCAGGAGGCATGTCACACACACAGCATTAGGTAGAGCCTCCAGATCCCAACTGGCGGTCTGATACAGACACCCCCAGTGCTTTCTGCTACATCAGGTGCCCTATGAGACATATGAACACGAACACCCAGCCAACTGGGACCAATGATAGAACTGAACGAGCTCTAGCAAGTCAGTCACGTACACTAGAGGTCTGAGGAATGTGTGGCTGGTCAGCAGGTTTTTACTGAAGGGAGACAGAAGGAAGACACCTAGGTTGAACCCTCAAAAAACTGTTTCTTTACCCTTCGTGTCTATGGCAGTAGCCTCCTTCACTGAATATTAAGAGGGTTTCCATACCAAGTCACCTTTTTCTCATTTTCGTGTTAATGACTTCGGCAGTTTGCAAAATCCAAGTATTTCTTGGTGATGAGGAAAAAGACAGCCTCCTTGGGTTTACCTTCTTCCCGTTTTCTTAGTCCCCTGTCTGGCCTGGGTACGTTCAGAATGCACTGCATTTGAGAAGGCCTGGGCTACCCGGGCGTGGCCAGTAATCTGTCACAGTGCATTAAAACTGCATTTTCTCCCCAGGCTTCAGGAGGTGAGCTGACTTCACAATTCCCATTGGGCCCCATTAATCCTCATTTGTGCATTTGGACCTTCTATTTAGAAGGCATATCCAGTCTGGGCAGTACCAGATCTGCCCGATAGACAAACTGCAGGGGACGCACACACATAGTGGCCCTCAGAACACCCACCTCCAGTGTTTTGGTTTTGCATCTATTCATATTAAGTTTTGACTGTTTAAGAGTTGTCTTTTTTTAAGGAAAAAAAAAAACAAAGAAACATCTGGGGACCTAACGCTGTAATTGTGCCCCTTTAAATACAAACTGTGTCTCTTGCACTGGAACATGGCTACGCCCCTGGAAATTGTGAGCAATACGGAAAATTAAAGTGGCCATGTTAACACTTAAATAAGAAAGAAATGCTTCATCTCTGTGGCTTCAGAAATTTGCCTCAAGAAGATCTCCTTGTGAAAAGTCCCATTCATTAGAATACTTTTTTGTCTTTTATGATTGTGTGTTTGTGTGTGTGGAAAGAAACTTGGTTTGACTTTTCTTTGCAAAGATGTTTATCCCTTTTATTTTTACAAAGTTCTTTCTACCCCAGTTCTCCTTCTCGTCGGCCCATACAAACAGACACTCACCCCCCAGCCCCTGGGGCTTCCCAGTGCAGCAGGCAGTCCTGGTTCCTCTCCTGCGAGAGCCAGTCAAGGCCCCGTGAACCAGGTGCTTGGCTACTTCACCAGTTTTATGAGCTCCCTTCCCTCCCAGACACCACGCCCAGAACATCCTGGAGGCATTCAGCCCTGCGGCCTCCCCAGAACCATCTGGAGAAGGACCTACGACTCCCCCAAGCACCCTCTGACCTGGAAAGCGTTCTCACCTGTGACGTATTAGGTGGTGATGACATGCTGTAATCATTGGGATTCCCTCCTTTCTGCTTCCTTTTAAGCTACAGCTAGTTCTTCTGCAGGTGGCTATAGAGAGATGGGAGAATGAAATGGAAAGGAACTTAAGAGTGCTGTCCTGTCTGGTGTAGCTAAGATCGCCCCTACTCTGTCCTCGTTCCTTGTATTTCTGGAAGTTACGGTGGAGAGCCAAGAACCAGGCTTCACTTAGTCTCTGATCAGCTTGTGCACCTCATACGCTCAGTTTGCAAGGCTAATTCCCAGTGGTGTCATTCCGATCACAGTTGTGAAACTCTAGCACCTACTTTTTCCTGCCTTGACTCGTTGCCAGTCATTTCTAAGAAAGATGATTATTAGACTGTGTGTTAAGAGATCTGCCAAATCAGAACTGGATGGATAATTAGGTAAATGATTGAGAAATCCAAGCAGCATTACTGCTATATTCATTACTTCTAAATTGCTGCAATTTGCTTAGAATACACAGGACACTGTATCCAAGAGAGAATATATACTACGAACTATAAAACATGGCCACGTGGGAAAAACCCACGCCTGCATTCTCCTACCTGACTCTACCCCTCGGTCTGCCACCTTCACGCCCAGGAAGACTGAAGATACGTGCTCACGTGCAGTAAGCAAATGTGACCCACAGGTTATAGATGAAAAGGAAGCCATTCTTAACCGGTGTCTCTTTGGAAGTCAGGAAAATGTGAAGGACGACTCCTGTCCTAAAAGACATACCAGCACTGGACTTGTATCCATCTCTGTGTGAGGGAAAGCCAGGTGCTTAGCCCATCTGTTGTTAAAGCATTCCTGAGAAGAGGCTTTGGGAACTAAGAAGTGCAGAATACCTTACTCTGATCTTTTTTTTTTTCCCCCTCTTTAGGTCCAGAGGGTGCAAACCTCTTTATTTACCACCTTCCACAGGAGTTTGGAGACCAGGACATCCTGCAGATGTTCATGCCTTTTGGAAATGTTATCTCTGCTAAAGTCTTCATTGACAAACAGACCAATCTGAGCAAGTGCTTTGGTATGCAAAAGAAACCCAGCTAGCATATACAGTGCACTGCCAGTAAGGAGTCATGGGAAGGAAAATGTAATGGCCAGTATTTTAGATGCCAGGATAGGGCCTTCAATGTGTGTGGTGGTTCCAGGTTGTCTGGATCCATGTAAGCAGACTGGGTCAAGTCATCAAAAAGGGAGAAAAGACCTGGGAGAGAGGAATGATCTGGGAAATTAAATGCCCATATAGTAGGTAGTGCTCTATACTGTACTCAAGGGTCTTACTGCCTATAACTAATCACCTTTCATAGTTGACCAGCAACAGTCTCTTTGGGCCCCCAGTTTGAACCACGGGCTTCACCGGATGGAAGGAGTTTACAGACTGTAGTGTAGTTGAGACTCCTGATACAGAATGGCACTGCAGACACTTTGCCACAGACTCCATACCCTTCCAGGTCCACTAGGACTCAGACCCTGTGGGTGTAGGCAGCACATTGTACTGGGGGCTTATTGGGGGCTTACTGTTCAGCATCTGGATGTACATAAAAACACACTCATCAATGCACACACCTTCACAGTAGGGGTGTGCTCAGGCCACACCCAGCACTGCAGCTCCGGGAGCCCAGGGACGGTGGCTGGTTTAGCTCATGGTGACATGAAGTGCTGCGGTGTGCTGGGATGCTGGGATCTGCAGTGGCTGCCTGAGTGGGTGGAGAGCGCAGGAGATGCAGGTGTTCTCAGAACACTGGACATCCCAGCTCCTCGGTGGCCCGAGCTGTCGCGGTCTCCTTCCTCAAGCAGCCTGGACTCCGGCCCCCTGGGGCGTTTCCGCTCCCTGAGAGAGTGTGGCAGGCTCACTGCCTGCCCTCATGTTTTACAGAGGAGAACATTCATTAAATCTAGTTCTTGTTTTATTTTTTGAACGCTTGTGTTCCCCAAAGTAGTTTAGAGGCTAGAATGTTCAGAGTATATACTTCTAACTTGGCAAGTTCTGGCCCAGTTTGAGATGCAGCGTTTGCTTTAACCACTCCTCCGATTTAATGACTCACATTGGTCATAGGTGCTAAGAGTAGCACAAAACAAAATAAAGTAGAACAGATGTGGGCAGAGGAGAACAAACAGAAGTGGGCACGGTGAAGAGGAAAGGGGGGGACGGCTCCTGCAGAGGCACAAACTCAGACTTGGCGCCCGGCTGACTGGCGACGGGCGGCCAGCCTGAGAGCGCTCTGGCTTCTGAAACTCCACTCGCATAACGTCCTTCTGATTTCCGTGCTGTCACCCAGGAAGGTCTGAAGCCTCTGTTGTTGGGGGGATTAGCGTGTCAGCCATTTCAAGTCACTGTTTCTATCCAAGTGGAGAAAGGCTGTTAGCCTGAACCCATTACAGGTATATAAATGCCCTTGTAATGGTTCATGAGAGAGTGAAATGGAAAGTAAGTTGTTACATAGGCTGTGTGCATGTCTCAGTAAGGGCTCCCCATTGGGAGCTTCCCTGAACAAGGCTTGCGAGCCAGACATTTATAGTCCTCATTGCTAAACAATGTCCTGAGCTTATTTGGAGATTAGAAAAAGGATTGTAGTTCATGGTTTGATTTTGAGAAAATATTTACCGTCTTGGAAAGAGATTATATCAGCCCCCAAACTACTTAACCACTGTGTTCATAATAATGCATCAGACAGTTGTATTTAGTGTTATGCACTATGTTTTCAGTTTTTATTAAAAAGCTGTAACATCCCATACGTAGGTGTCTCCGTGAGACAGCCTAACTTCTTGGGGTCCCAGGTTTGCTGGTCATTAACGTGGTACCCCATTCTTCATCCTAAGCTCTTGGCCAGGTTTTGTTATCCACTTTGCCTTTGACCCATTTCCATTCTTCAATCATCTTGCTACCTCTGGATAAGATGTAGGAGGAAAGAAAAATCAGCAAAAATCTTAGATTCAAGATCACATTTATTGGGAATTTAAATTTAATAAAAATGTAAACCACCATTTTGCATACAGGCAGCCTATGAGAAGCTACTCTGCTTATACCGTATGCCTATTTTTATCAATCAGCTGAGAACTCTGCTAAAGGTATATATTTATGTCCCTTTCTTCCTCCTCTAATTTGTAAAGGAATGTTCTCCTTAGCTTTATACTTTAATAGTAGATAGATGGAGAACTTGGTATAAAACCTTCTGAACAGGGGATGGTCAGAGCTGAAATCCAATCAGTATAACTTCCTTTCAACAACAAAAGTAAGTAGGGACAACACTTTTGCACTAGCATTACCTAAAGAAACTTTTTGCATGTAACCCCTGCCCCCAGTGAAACAAAACTATGTGGTCAGAATTCTGTTTCTGGGTTTTGGCAGAGCCTGGGTGGTCGTCAGAAGCGTCTGAGTGTTGGTACAGAGAAAGGTGGTGGGAAGTATGTCAGGATGGCTGTGAAGCCCTGAGCTGTTTAGACTGTTTATATTCTCCAGGACAGCTGGGGATACAAGGTAGCAATTTCCATTCCGCTGAATTCACTGGAGCTTTGAAAATGGAAGTTGAGATAAGGAGAACAGGCACAGCATTTCCCCTGGGCCCCTAGGTTCCTCTCAGTAACAGGTCCAAGTGGTAAAAATGAAGTACAGATTATTCTAGAGTTAATTCACCAACTGACCCCGTCCTGTATACATGGAGAATTGGAATGGAAACAGGGTCTTGGGCAGCAGTACCGGTTATGCAGCCCTTCCCTCAATGATCCTGCTTTTAAACCTCACCTGGTTGGGGCATGTGAGCCTCTGGGGGCCCTTGGAGACCTAGAATATTTGTACCACTGCTTCTAGGAGCAGCACTTACTGATGTATTGGAGGCTCGTTCAGGATTCTAAGGGACTTTAAACACAAACAGGTTTGACTGAAATCAGTAAAACAGACTAAATTGACTCAGTGTTTGAGATTTTAGCCTTCTGCAGAGGGGTTTTGTTCTCATGATAGCAAGTTAGCATCCAGCCAGCTTCTCCACTGCTTCTCAGTGGATGTTTCCAGTGTTGCCCCTAAAACATGACCTGCAGTCCGTGAACTGAGTAGAGCTGACCCGAGACCGCAAGCTGGGCACGTGTCACTTAGCATCTGCAGCCACCCTCCTTTGCTCCCCTGCCTCTCCATCTTGATTCCCGCCCTCCCTCCGCTTGTGTCTTCCAGGTTTTGTTAGCTACGACAATCCCGTGTCTGCGCAAGCTGCTATCCAGGCTATGAATGGATTTCAGATTGGCATGAAACGCTTGAAGGTCCAGCTGAAGCGCTCCAAAAACGACAGCAAACCTTACTGATCCTAACCCCAGAGGCTCCCTGCTCTTATTTTAGCTTTCTTAGGGTAAGTCCCACGAGCCAGCCTGGGCTCAACAGGAAAGGCAGAGGAGGACCACATTGCCAACTTTTACCAAGAGAGACGGTTATTTTTACAATAAGGCCTCCATTACCCCCTCCCGGGCCCCCTACCCAGTTCGCCATAAACTCGGCTACCTTGTTTCTAACGAGTAAACTCCTCCTCCACTTGTACCACTTGTATTCTCCTTTGTTTTGCAATTTGAATCTCCTTTTACCTTTTTAAAGAAAAACACATACACAATAAATGACATCTTAACAACTTAAAAGGCAAACAAAGGCTAACGTGCAATTCTAACTCTGAGACCCACCCCCTCCCCCTCCCCCTCCCCGTGCCCCAGAGCACTGCCTGGAGAATTCGCCCCTCCTGCCCGCGCCCACCCCGCAGAGGGGCGCCAGCTGTTCATAGAGGGTAAGGCGGTGGCCTAGTGGGAGAGAAAAGCCAGGAGAAGCACTTAAAAACAATACAAAATGTCTTTCCACTACATTTGGTTTGTTTTAATAAGTAGGATTTTATTTTAGTGTTCAATGAAACATGACATTTATTGGTCAGATTATTACACTGGTTGTCTATTTTGTTATTGTTTTATTTTAGTTTTTAGAAAGGATTAATGTAAAAAAAGATTTAGAGATCTGTTTCTTAAAGCTACAGGGTTTAAAAATTAAAAATGAGTGAAAATACTTGATGTTTCTTGAAAGATAAATTTAATAATAAATAAGTAATACATAAATACTACATAAAAAGAAAGCCACAGGCCTGTAAATTTTATTTGTAAAAAAAGCATTTCTATTTTTGTACAAAATTTTTACTGCCTCAGAAATAATGGAAGTTATTTATTGCCTATTGTTAACTTATTGGGTACCTAAAGAGCAGCTCTCTGTGCTAGCCAGATCCTTCTGAAGTAGTCTCTAGAGGAATCGTTCTAGGAATGGGCTTTTTTTCACCGTTGAACCCTAGGCCTCAAGTCCATGCTTTATCCTCTCGGTGTCTGTATCTGTCTGATGATTTTGTTCGTAACTGCCATTATCTAGTTTACAGTTCAGTCGTCTGACTTTCCCCATCTGTTACATTCGTTGAAACTGGACCCTCTCCCCATCCTTTGCCAGCCCCTCACCCCAAAACACCCAGAATCCATCCCCTCTCCCTCTCCGGATGGATTCTCTTGGGTTCCTTTGTGCTGTGGATAAAGAGTGTAAGAAATGCAAATTACGTGGATGGCTCGTAGACTCCCTAATGACCTAAAATTTGCATTAGTTTTTCTCCTGCACCCTGAAGAGTGATTTTGTTGCTGCTGCGTAGATTCTGTGTAACTTTTTACTCTCCCTGTTTTCTCCCTAGACATCTTCATGCCCGTTAGTTCACCGTTTGCCTAGCATGTCCCTGTGGCGTCTCAAAAAAAAAGTTTCATCGTCCCGTCATTGTTTCTGATGTCTTTCTGACCTCACATCATATTTGGTTCTCCTACTGACCTTTGATCTAGTTTGACCTTTGAAATTTGCATGTGACCTCATCTAGCTATGAATTCTGGGAAGTCAATGTGAAAAACATTGCTGCATTCATGCAAGACTGAAATTTATTATTACACAAATTAATAATAGGAAAAAACCTGTGGCAAAAATGTTTCTTTTTCTTTCTTTTCTTTTCATAAAACAGACTTGAAAGTATTATACAGGGATTGGCATTCTTCCCGGTCACTGGTAATAGCAATATGTGTCCAGGGACACAGAATGTTGGTTTCTAACAGACTACTTCCAAAAACAGTTTGAGAAAAAAACTGTCTGATTTTAAGTCTCTAGAGGTCTGTAATAGTTTTTACATTTTTCAGGCAGTGTAAAGTTTTTTGATAAGGCCATTTTAGGTGGCTCACTTTCTCATTAAGATATATATATAGAACCACTTTTTGTAGATTAGTATAAGAAAAATATTTACCCTGTTTTGGGGCAAATGCTACCTATTTGTGTCACCTTTTGCTGAACTGACTCACAGTTAGACAATCCATGGTTTAATGCACATGAAATTACCTATATTTTATACTGTTTCAATGTACAGGAGAAAGGTTACTGTAAACTGTGTTAACGTTGGTGCTTCTGTGAATTAAGTTGTGGTTTCATCATGAGTCTTATGGTCTTAATGTTCTTTGTTGATAAGACAAGTTTAGAATTGGTTTACTTAAAACAAAAAAGAATTTCAAAAAAAAAGTTGTTTGCTTACAAAAAATTTCATGTGAGGGAAAAAAGAAAACCTATTCCAGAGTAAGTTTTGTGTTGGCTTGTAAAGCATTGATGTCTTTTTTTTTTTTTTTTTTGGTGGACTATTTAGATGTGTTTGTGTTCAGCAAAATGTGATTTTTTTTTTCTTTTAAAGAAAAAAAGTGAAAATATATAGTGCCAAATTCCAAAGGTACTTCCTTCCTAGAGCTTCAGTGTGTTTCTTGTGAGAAGTAATTTGATAACATGGGTATTTTATTATGTGTTTTGTATAAATCCCTAATATTTAAAAAACAAAAAACAACAAAAAAAAGAGGTTAAAAAGTTTGTTAACTTGCTATCCTGTGGTCTTGTTGCCTGAAATTGTTATTGTTTGTTATTTCTCTATGATGTTTTTTGTAAGACATTGTATAAGTGCCCATGTCTCACTTTTTTAACCACTCTGAACATCAATGCTGTGACGGCAACCTCACAATGTATTTTCTTCATGATACATGGAAACCTCTAAGGTGAGAAAGTTTTGAACTTTTAACCCTTTCTACCCAGCGCTATCTGGAATGTTAACTTTTTATGCTGTCATCATTTTCATTTGTTTTGGGGTGTTTCTAATTTGGATTTTTTTTCTGCATATATCTTTGAGTTGTTTCTGTCTTTACTAGTACTTTATCCTTTGGTTGAGAGCCAAAAGAAAGAAAAAAAAATAACACTTTAAAAAGAGTTACTGGATAAATCTTCTGAGGGGAACAGTAGATAGTCAAGCACCTAAATAAACCTTAAATTCAGTATGCTTTTGAGATCAGGTTAGTGGTATGTTCCAGTTTAGAATAATTTCATATACCTTCCAGTTAAATGGCTTTGTGATGATGGGGTAGTCTTTTGACGGATTTTTGGTTTTGTTTCTTCCATATTCCCAAATTAATGTTTCTTATCACACATTGTGCAGTGGATACCTCTGAATAAGCCAGGTGTCTGGAGTTAGAAGTTGACAATCCTTTTCCCTGCCTTTTTGTTTCTTTTGAATTGAATGCATCTAAAGGGGACTGACCATCAAAGGCAAACTCAGTTCATCACAGTTACTGACCAAATACCTAGCACCCGTTCCTGCTGCCACTTTCTAAAGCGCCATATTTCTTTGACTTTCACTTCATGTGAGCAGGTCTCTTGCTGTCCTGACAAACCCCAAAGTCATCCCCACAGTCCCAAAACACACGCCTGCCTTTCTGGAAGCTTCTTTGTCTCGCTAATGGAGTTCAGAAACTGCTGGCTCCATTTCCTTCCTCCTTTTCCCGCTCACCACCCTGTTTGGTTTAATATGTGTGTGGATGTGATAGCCCTGGGATGGAAAGGACTAGCCTCTAATAATGATGCAAAAAAAAAAAAAAGTTTCCTTCTTATAGCACATGCACTTACAATGAAATGATCTGTATTATCCTCACACGTGTTTACTACTGCTGGGGCCTTCCTTCATCCTTCGAGGGCTATTTTGTACCTCCTGCAGCAAGCAGCTGAATAACAGAGGTTATCGCACTTGTCTCTCTCTCGTGTAGATGATAATATGGTGGTACACAGATACATCCATAAGAACACAAGACAGACACCACCATTTGAATTTCCTACACTGTCTCATTTAGAACCTCTTATCAATTATACATAAATCTTAAACCATTTTTTCCCATTTCTTCACTGAAGCCAGAAGCGCTCCGGTGCCCTCCTCCCACTGCCTGCATCTCCCCCAGGGAAGCTGAGTGCACTTGACAAGAGGCTCAGGGTGGGCACTTAGAGCTGAGTGTTTATTCTGCAGGCAACCAAGACAGACTGTACTGTTACAGGGAAAGTCCTTTTTTTTTTTTTTTGGGGGGGGGGGGATGTTTCATTGCTAAAAAGATAACTCTCCTCAAAGACAAGTTGTCCTTTTCTTCACTTTCTCTTTTAATAGCAAAAGGAAAAAGCTGCAAGGGTGCGAAGGGCCTGTGCCAGAAGAAAAACAAACACACAGGGAAACTGCTTTTTTTAAAATCAAGTGTAGACAATAGTCATTTTTAAACTAAATTAGAGAATTGTGATCAAGTGGCAGTCCTCAAAGGCGTAACAAGTTCATCTTTCTTTCACCATAGGGGTTATAGTTCTTTGGCTTGTGCTACTCTGGACTCATTTTACTGTTTCTGTTTTTATTATCTTAAGTGCTAATTAACAAGAAGAAATAAAATTTTAAAAAAAACCTGTAGTTTCATTACCTTTTTGAATAATGTCATACAAAAAAATGTATTTGTGTTTTTTGTGCTGTGAGAATTGTTGTTTGTAGATTAATAATATCATTTTGTTTAGAATTACAAAATAGTTTTTAAATATTGTCTGAGAAAAGCCAAAGTTAATGCAACCTAGTGGAAAACTGTAAGACCATTTGAGTATTGTTTCTGTTTTATTGATGCATTTGGATTTTGTTGTTTGATGGAATTTGAGCCAAAAAAAATACGCAGGCTTTCCTATTTCTACAACTGATTGTACTTATGCATTTTGTACCAGTGGAACTTTTTATACTGGAGATTAAAAAAAAAATGGAAATATTTGTGGCTTACTCTAGTGGGCCCCCTGACAATGACTGATTTCAAGTTTGATTTCTGGTTGATAGAAAGAAAGTTGCTTTTCTTTTGAGAATTAAAAACTTTGGCTTGATTTCTTTTTTCCCTTTGCTTATATCTAGCATTAGAATTTTGTCTTAAAATACAGCGGTAAGTTTCACTTTTTATTCTGTATTGTGCAGTTACACAATAAGGTAATTAGATTTAGAAGTACTCAGTCACTTTAAGTGGATAAATGTATTAGTTAAAACTTTAGGGGTTTGCTTTTTTGCTGTTTAGATCAAAGTTTTTTCTGATTCTTCTGTCCTCATTGTGAACATAACCGTGTAGTTGAGACAGTCAAACTTATTTTTGTAACGTATGTTATTGTGTGATGCAGTTTTTTGCTTCTGTCTCCAATATTAAACCATTTTCCTAATACTTGTTTCTCTCTCTGAGTGTTGTATTGTTGGTAGTCATTATATGTTGGTGATACATCTACACACCTCACTGTTTCACGTATGTTTTTTTTTCTATATGTTGTGTAATAAGATACAGTCGATTCCACCTAAGTGAATATCTGATTTGGGGAAGGGGGAAACTACACACCAGCCACCTCTGATTTATGTACAACAGCCTATTTTAACCACTGCTTCCAAGATTTATACTTATTTCTATGGTCCACCTACAGAGTTGGATTTGCCAAGACCTTATCTGGTCTTCTCACCACACTGGTATATTTCACTTTCTCTCTCCCCTTCCCTTGGGTACATGTGTGCAGTTCTTAACACTCATTAAAAATGGCTCTGCTTTGCTGCATAACCTTCAGAAGGGAAGCAGCAGAGCTGGGGTTTCTTCTGCCTACCCATGAGTGAGTCCAAAGGCATACCATTACCATCAAACTCTTCTCAGAAACCAGTCACATTTTTTAAAAGAGGTGAGCTCTCCAGGGAAGAAAAAATAAACTTAACTTACCTGGTGAATAGACGTGAAAGGTGTTTGTTAAATTTAAACCTATGCGTTGCCATCAATCAATAGATATGTATAGAAAAGTAATTTAAATTATTTATTTTTAGAGCTAACTGAATCCAGGAGCAGCTTTAATTATTAAAACTAGTGGAAGAGAAAAGAAATACTTGCAAGGGCTCAAATGGAAGCTCTACTCAGTCTGGTGGGATGGGAGGGGGAAGAGGTAAAGTTTCTCACGCCCAAGTCTTCATACTATATCATCCGTTTCCAAATGAAAGCCAAGAAGGCCATATGCATCCACACACTCCTTCCGGAATGAGTGTATATTTTGTAAAAAGCCTTGTCCCCCACGATCGCCCCAACCCCAGCTAGCAAAAAGAGAACTAGAGAAGAAAACCATTCCTTGTATGCCCTCGAAAGCTGAAGCCACAGGCCCTCCTCCCTCTTCTGCCCATCTCTTCTGCTCAGGAATCTGACTGCTCTCCAAGTGCTCTTACAAGATTCCATTGACGTCTGCTCTGATCTCTCCCTCCAACTCTTCAGACGCACAAGCTCTGTCCAACTCAGGCCACCCGGCACCGGCAGCCTTCCTCTGGCCGCCAAGGAGATTGTCCCTGCAGGTGCTCAGGCTCCCCACCCTCCGGTTTCGGCAGCCCCTCTGACCCCTAGACTGTCCTTTCCAGTCGGCTCAACAACAGAGGGGCCGGGTGAGGCGGAGGGAAGGAGGCTCTTTCCCCCATAGGCTGAACACCTCAGAGAAGTAACTTCCACCAGCTCTAAACCTGCACAGATGAGAGCTGACTTCCTGCCAATACTTCTGCTTTAAATCTCATCAGAGCCTTCATCAGTTTGCCTCTGAAAACCCACTGCTTACATTAGTGGGAAAAGACGGCTATGGGTGTGATTTTTCTTTCTTGTATGTTACTATTTTGGGGGGGGGGGGGGGGGGGGGGGAGAGATTGGAAGGGGAAGGAAGGAGGTGGAGGTGGGGAGCCCAGCAAGAGAGCAGGTGGGCAGTGAGGGAGACTGAAGCAGAACTCTGCCAGGAGGGACGGAGAGGAGGGGGTCTGACTATACGAGAGGCTGGTGACTCATCTCTCTCCCTACCATTAGCCCTAGAGAAGTCTCCCTGCTATGGGAGGAGCGATGACCAGCCTCGAGTGGCTTTGGAACGAAAACCAATGACTGCATCCAAGGGAAGATAATGAGAAACACACAGGCCATGAAGATCAGGAAAGCACCACTAATCTTTTTTTTTTTTTTGCAAAACTTTACTTCCCGAAGCCCTGGGCAAGGGTGCAGAAGCCCCTGCGTGTGAACTTGGCCTCTTTACTGAGATATACAAGATGGAGTCTCCCTTGATAAATCGCAGAACTGACCATATCCAAGAATCCGAGAGGCTGGGGGGGGAGAGGGGGGGGGGAGGGTGTGAGGGAGGGGAG